CCCAGCACTGAGCACTTTTCAAATGTTATAGGTAAAGAGAGTTTGTACGCTATTCGCTATTAATAAAATTTAAGAAATTAAATGACGGAAGCCAGTTCAGCAATTTATATTAGTCACAAAGGCGGCCTTTGAATGCAGTAATGTCATGGTATAAGTAATGTGGTAATTGTGGTAAGCTTTCTTTTGCTGAAATCTTCTTAGGAGCCGATTTGGGTGGTCTAAATGCAGTTTTGCATTCTAAAAAGCTCGCGCTGGCTGAGTTAAAACTGAAAACCGGTAAAACTGTTTGCATTATCTTTTTTATCACAAGGCACTTAGTACGTAAAGAAAAATGACAGTATTGCAGTTTTCAGAATATACAAAATTTTCAAAAATCTGAATGCAAAAGTAGGTCTAAATTTGTCAAAACGCAACAATATGGTTTGTTCAAGAAATGAGAACTTTAAGTTTTCGTACCCTTCTGAACGATGCATTAACAAAAATACTGTAAATACGCTCTGGAAAACTCGTTCCAGTAATTTGGCCTCAGGAATATTCGCTTCCTGAAAATTCGTCCAAGGAAGAGTTGCTCACAGAAAATTGGCCCTTCACACATACCGGCAAAACCGAAGCCGGTGGATGCGACCGCATCAGATGCAATGCAATCAAATTGAAGCTCTCACACTAAAGGCCAGTTTTTCCATCTCTCGATAAATGTATTCGGCAAATAAGTACCTTGACAACCATTCTATCAAAAATAGTATCCATGTAATTTATTCAGAGAGTAAAGTTATTGAGAAGTGGAAAAACCAGGCCTAACTGATTACATTTTGGTCATTTGGACTTTCCGTCCGCTCGTTAGTGATGGTCGCTCGTTGTCTATATTGTTTTGAAACAGTTTATTGTTAATTATTTATATCTGTGAAATGGAGCTGGAGGCACCCCTTTTAAAACGGCGCCCGCTTGCTTTGCAGGCCATGAAGAACCGCTTCCGCGGGCCCTGTATGTTTGTCTTTAGTAGAAACGTAGATGGTTAAAATTTTAAAGAGAGATCTTCGTAAGTAAAAAAAGTTGTCATTTTGCAGTCTGTGCATGCGCTCATTTGGTTTTTACTATTTTATTTTTGGCTTTATTTTTGAGTGGGCGAGGTTTCAGCCAAGACCAACCCAACCCACTACACATTTGCAAAATATCTATGCTCCAACAGCTTCTACTGACCTGCGCCACAGGGGCCGGCTATTTGTTTGTTTATTGTCCCTTTCTTGTCCCTCAACAAGCTTTTTGCCCAATTACAGATTGACCCGCATAATGCTTTTTAGAGGTGTCCCTGCAGAAGGTCTTAAGTTGTTCTATACTGCTCCTTACAAGTTAGGAAAACTGCAGGAAACCGTAATTCGGAGTAGTCGTCAGAATACTCGAAACTGATCTAAGTAAATTCCCTTTTCTACCACAGATGAAAATTCTTACCTCAGGTTCGAACACCCGACCTCCGGCCATGTAGCCCAACTCTCTACCGCTAAGCTACACAGTCGGTATGGCTGGTTTTGCTAATGACGTTTGTAGTTTTCGATTTCTACTACGTGCGATGTGTTTTTCTTTACTAGAAGCATCTATATTGATCAATTTCTTGTTCAGGTCGCTTTGACAAGAAAACTTTACGAGTGTAAACACAGAATTGGATACAATAACTTGATCAATTTCTTGTCGGATTAGCGCAAGTTTGGTTTTTTATACATTCGGGCCATAGAAATTACACTCCTAGCGCAAAAATATCTCTATAAATAATAAAGTTGACATTGCGCAGTCTGCGCATGCGCACATCTGATTTTTACAATATGCGATATGTTGGTTTTTACTAGAAGCATCTGTGGTTAGAATTTTAAAAAATATCTCCATTAATAACAAAAATGTCATTGCGCAGTAAAAATGTCTGAAAATGTCAAATTTCGTTTTCATTATCCCCATCTTAATCGGTCGGAAATACACTGTTCCTGTTAGCACCCTGTATGGGCACTTTTTTTGGGAGAATCCATAACATTCTAGATGTAGAAGCTTCAGCTACAGGCTTCAACTTTCTTATTTATTATGGGCGCCATATTGGATTTTTACGAAATGAGTAGTGGATAAAAACGTCTCAGCACTCTATACTTTTACATAAATTTACAAGAAAAATTTCAAAATCAAATGTTTTACATTCATCCACGGGTAACTAGATTACATTTTGAAAATTCTCTTCAAAATATATTGCTGTGTGCACTGACCCGTAGGCCACAAAGGCCGTACACAAAACAATAACCTAGCTAGCTCTTTACCTTTTGTGATTACGGCACAAAACTCCTCCACAGTACAGAGGAGAGATTCAACTCTGCTCTCAGTAAACCTGTGAACTTCTAACAGATAGTGGGCCAACTCAAATACCTTAAACTCGAAACTGAACCGCAAAATTTTGAATAAATAAAATGGACTTTGGGCAAGCATCCAATGAAAACACAGGTAAATTAGAATTTAAGTCGACACGGAAATTAATGTGACAATTACAAAAATGAGATTTAATCTTAACACACAAAAGAAAAATAGTACGAAAACACAAACAATTATTACAAATAGACTAAAATTATGACTTAACTACTTACATTACTTGTCCGGGAATTGAAATATCCAATCAAAAGGTATCCGTACACAGTTCACAAAAATTAAAATTTTCAATTAACACAAATGCTGCGATTATCCGATGTCATCTTCTCTTCAGGTAGTCAAATACGTTCACAATAAAACTCAATTCGCTACCTAACTGTTAAAATTTCAAGTTAATCGAGTCATTTTGAAGAAATTGCGAGGGCAAAACCTTCATTTCCTGTACTATAACAAGTTTTAAAACCAATTGATTTTAAATGTACTCATCATATTTATTTTGCAACCTGGAATTCTGAGTTGCTCATATTTGGTTGTTGGACTCTAAATCGCTTGATGTAATCAGTTTTTTTTGACATTCTACAACTTTTGAGGGATTTCAATTTGGGCGACTAAAACGTTTTAATGGAAACCCGCTATGTTAATTTTCTTGTTAATTCTTGTTTTTTTAGTAGTAGGGGTACTTTACTAGAACGCTTGAAAGGTCATTGTAAAGAGCCACTCCTTTTTAGTTGTGAATTTATGTAGCTGGGAAGGTTTCTACATTATACACTATCATTCAGATGAAGCTGAATTACCAAGTAGCACAGTGTAGCACTTTTTTCTCAGGATTACAGTGACCAAATTAGAAAAAAAAAAGCTGTGGGTTACTGAAATATACAACAGAATAAATTTTTAGCTTCCTAGCACGATCACCGTTTTTTTGGACATGTCAAAATTTCATCAAATGTCGACGTTTTACATCATTTTAAGCAAATTTCAAAGAATAAAAATTTTTCCGTCTGTATGTATGTGCGTATGTTCCCCAAGCGGTCACCTATCCAAGTATACTGACCACCTGCTGTTGCGTAACTCCGACGATCGGACAAGAACCGGCGTTTTCAATGTGGCATTGCATTTACTGTTCTAACGGAAACAATTGCAGAATCTCTTCTTAAAGAAGAGGATACCAAAAGATGCAAAAGCGACGCGAATATCGCGATTTGGGATTTTGAGGACTTTTTCAAAACAAAATTTTCCTGTGGGAATTTGAACAATTTAGTGTTTAGTAATAAAACTGCACATACAACAAATTTATAAGACTTTTTCCAGTATAAGGCATAAAGGATGTAACACTGTCAAAAAAGTTTTTTTTTCTGTGCGGGAAAAACATTTGACATTTTATCTCTGTTGATACGTAACAAAAGTGAGTACTTTTTTCCCGGATATACTCGCATATACACATAAGTAAAGATATTCAATTTTTGTGAGGCTACTTTCACTGCTTCTACTAACTCACGTGAAGTCGGAGAAAATTCAGAATCAGACATTTTTAACTTTATACGAGACTTTATATCATTCAATATAACTACTAAACAATCATTAAATTCGAAATGTTTAAATCAAATGACAAAACTGAATTGACAGATATTTGAGTAAAGGTTTCCTTAGTAACGCAGTTCGTATTGTCGCGACAAGTGCAACAGCCTGTCTGCAGTTTAAAACTTCAAATTTCTATAAATCGATATGACTTCAATATATCGTTTTCCCCGTTCCAGAAGAAAATAGTGTATTATACACGGGAAAAATATTAGATTTTAGCACTCGGTTTTTTGTCCCCCTCCGCTTCGCGTCGGGAGACAACACAACCTCGAGCTAAAATCTAATACTTTTTTCCTTTTTATAATAAATAACTATTTTTGTTAAAAATTTGCTTCGGGCTACGAAGCTGTTCTGTCAAGAATTTGGCAACTGGTTGTTATGGACATCCCCTTGCAAATTGCAATGGAATAGCATTAAACGTTTAACGTGAACTAATGTACCCTCAGTAAAAATTGAGAAACTGCGAACGAAAGCAACGGTAGAAAACACGACAATTCGTTGACATTAGATTTAAGTAATAGACATTACTCTGAAAGTTGACGTATTTTTTTAATAGAAGACGTTACGTACAGATTGGAGTGACATGCTAATTTTAGTTGCTTTGTTTGTATTTTTAGCTAATTTTCATTGGTTTTTTTTGCTTTGTTTTGGATTTTGAGCATATTTTTCCAGAATGTTTTGTGTAGCCTGTACCGCGTATAGTGGAATTTCGTAAAAAAAATTGTTATTTGCACTGTAGCACTTTCAAAGTAGTTATGTGTTAAAGCTTTTTCTATTAACGAACTGCTATTTTGTTGAGTGCCTTGCAAGCCCATGCTCAATTTGTTTAATTAAACCAGAAGAAAATGCTTCGTATTTGGTCATTTACACTACTTCGTAGCTCCATCGTTAAAAAAGTTAACAATAGCACATCTTTCAAATTGAAAGCAGATGACGCTTAAGATATTTCTTTCTATGACAGTCACATCGAATTTTAGAATTTGTTTTCATTATTGTGGCTTTGCTTATTTTATTTTGTTTTATTTCAGATTATCGGAAAATGAAGGAACTATTAGCAATTCAGTTTTTGATATGTCTGGCGCTGGCATTTAATGGGAATTATCCGGAAAATTGCTTTCCTGTGTTACACTTTTCAAGAACGCAGTTTTATTTCAACGACGTCGCCTGCGAACACATATCAGTTGTAAATGGAACCACATTAAACATACGCTTGAAGAACAACCATCTAACAAAGACAATTTCGTTTACAAACAGCTTTATTCCAATTTTACCCGCCGATTATTTCCGATTCTTTCCATTCTTGGAAAGATTGTTTTTACTCGGAAACAATATAGAAACTGTTGAACGTGATGCGTTTAATCACCTTAACCACCTTCAGCATCTTTCACTTTACAATAATAGTATCAAAGAAATTTTTGGACTCACCTTTCGTAAATTATCAAATGTAAAGATACTAAGTTTTTCAAAAAATAGACTGGAGGAATTGCACCGGGATTCTTTGTATGGCCTAGTCTCTGTACAACATTTAAATTTATCACACAACTCATTTCGTAAATTAAATTCAAATACGTTTGATAATGTGCCGTCACTTAAATTGTTGGACATATCGCACAACATCTTGCACAGCATTACTTCTGAGATTAATTTAAAAAGGGCAGCCGATCGTTTTGAGTCATACGATCAAGTACCTAACAACGTTTTTAAAAGTCTACCCAAATTAGAAAAACTAAATTTAAGCTTCAACAATCTGAGTGATATTCCCATTGGATGTTTTGGCGGGCTTAATGTTTTATCAGAACTCAGGTTATCCAATAATGTCTTAACGGATGTAGACTTTGGCACATTTTCGGGACTCGGTAACATAGCTACTTTGTACTTAGATAACAATAAATTAATTTCTCTACCGGAAGAATCATTTTACGTACTTAAAAATTTACACTTTTTATATATTCATAATAATCTGATAGATAACTTAGACGTAAAAGTATTGCTGAAGCAAACTCCCAACTTAACTCACATTTCTCTTGGTGTAAACGAATGGAATTGTGACAATTTATTTAATATTTTGAGGCTATTAACGCATTTCCACGTCCATTTTGCAAATGGTACGAGTTACGATGTCGAAAATGTAAATGGGATCGCTTGTACAAGTCGAGAAAATTTGGAACAAATCCGTGCATCTGGTAATTTTGAAGATCCCTATTCCACTTTTGTCTACAAATTTGCACAATTCTTCGACAGAGACTTTAAAAACACGCCTTTTTACAATTTTTTACAAGAAATCTTATCCATACCTTCGGCAGTTATAAATTCTTTAAAAAACCTTACTAAGTACATAAAAGAACGGCGTGAGTTAGTTGATGAACTCAACAGACTTATCGGAAAGAAGGAGAACGTTTCTTTCTCTGATGAGTATTATGACCATGAAGACTATGAAAATGAAGAATAAGACAGGATAGCGACTGGGTTGAATAAGACTATACCATAGATGTAATTGATCCTCAATGTTCCCGTGTTATCTGTGTTCATGTCATGCTATAGTTGCAATCTTAGAATAATCGATATGTTTGTGAGTTTGATTAATAGGCATTACATACTTACCACTGTCGAAATTGTTTAGTAAACATTGCTTGATTTATGTTATATACATTATATTTACTACGTTTTATCCAGCTAATTACTGACATTGTAAGCCACTGGCAAGCAACAAAATGTTAAAGCAATAGAAATATTTGTTTGAGCAAACTTAATTCTTATTCGTGGAGAAAAAAAGTATCGCTACTTTTAAACTAAAGTGTTAAATGAATTAGAAAAACTTAGAAGACAAGACGGTAACACCATAATATTTGGTTTTGGCCATCTGGGACATGTTATTTTCTACTTTCTTCAATAACATTGAGAGAGAATATGTTTAGCCGTGTCAACCTGTGATTCTTTCTCACGTACTGGAGTACACCTATATACAAACTAGCGAAGAATTAGGGAGATAATCTCATAGTGACAAAGCTGCCACATGTTAAGTGCATTTTTCGAAACAGCAAGGGTTTAAATTTAGTGTACTTTCATAAGAAATGAACAATAACCCATAGTTATAGCATAAAGTGATACATAAAAAATAGCAACATTTGACATTTTGAAGGAGTAAAATCGTAAACAATTGCAAGTTAGAGCTTAGAGATCAAGAATTAATCGAGGCACGGTAAAAATCTGATAGCGGTCTGGTCTAACCAGCATATTTGGTTGGTGTACATTCGCTCGATCTTCTGGCAATCGCTGTGTTCCAATCCTAATGTTAGGAGGTTTCCTCGACCTCTCACACCCCTTGGTCATGTAGGATGTCCCCGATTGAACTACTCACAATATGGCACTACTAAATGGTACCATTCTTGCTATACGTCTTCTAGTATAAGAACAGTCGTAGGTAGTCACCCACTGCAAAACATGTATTTTTCTTCGTATGGGCTAGATAGAGATGCAAATATAGCATAATTTGTGTACAAATCACAGGCGGCCAGTTTTGCAATGGGCGGCTACCTGCGATGATTGGCGTGACTGTTTTTATACTGGAAGAGCAATACCTCTACCAAACGCCAGGATAATCTTCCTCCAAAATGCGTTGCGTTGGCAAGAGTCGTGTTAACAAATGTTGTGTACCTAATAGGCACGATGTAGTTTTTACAAACGTTATTGAAAAATACCTCTTTATACAATATCTACGAGTAGATCAACTACAAGTATAACAAGCTACAATATGGCTTCACATCTGGAAAATCTTCCGAAATGGGAGTTATGGATTTATTTAATAATAATGTGCCCGTGCTTGGGCAAGGATTATGCAAACCGGGGTTTGCCCAAGAACTTTGATTCATAAAACCCTAATTACTCACTTATGAAACAAACGTTTCTTTTTCTGCAGTTACTTGAGTTAGCGTGATCAATGAGAGCGCAATATTCGCCCAGTCGTATTTAGCTGAACCCAAGAGAATAGTGTACGGAGTTCCACAAGGACCGTTTTTGGGATCTCTGTTATTTATTTTGCGCTAAATGATCTACTATCCAGTCATTTATTTCAGTATGGATTCTGTATGGTACTTCCTGCCTTGCTTGCAACTGCCCGTTTAACCTGCTTGTGAAAGAATATACCTACTGCAGGATCTAGCTAATCATGGACCACCTCGTGACAAGAGCTTATTCATCACGATATGGCGGAAACACATGCATTCCATATTCGGTATAATCGGAAATTATTTAGTGCAAAAAGATTTGTTGGTGCCTGAAATCAGGATATTATGTAGTTAAATAGTTAACAACTTCTCTACATGTGGTCGCCGAAGATGAGCTTACGTTTCTTCCAAGTAAAATTTGCTCCATTCACCATTATAATAAAAAACTAGGCGAAATAATGTAGCGATGATTTGGGATGTTTATAATCAAAAAAAAAAAATGGGAAAGACAAATAAGTTCTTATTGAACTGCTCATCTAGCCATTAGTTGCAAATCCCCAAACAAAGGATCATTAGAAGACTGATCTTGAGATCCTTATGTCACCGAACCGTTTTAGTAATTCGATTATCGTCTCTAATAAGGGATGGTGTTTATAATATGCAGAGGTTATAAGTTCATTCGGGGTTTGTCTGCTGTTACCCTGCATTTAATTACACTGTAACCGAATTTGAAATTGTTTTAACACAAATAACGGCGCACCGTTCTAATGATACATCAATAAATTAGATGCTCTTCGGTGTACAAACGAGCCACAGCATTTTCCGAAAATCTCGCATTTTCCAGTGGGACGGAACAACGCTAATTGGTCGCAATCATAACTTTTCGTGTTTGTTAACTGCTAAAATTAACTCGACTAACAAATTGTGGACATTTTGTGCTATTTTGAGGAAAATTGTAGGCAAGAGATTTCTACATATACCGTCATAAAAGAAGGCGTTCCGAATCTCATTATACTTACACGGGTCGGACGAAATCGAATTCTCATTTCATTCGAATTTTCATTATTTAGTAAAAAAAATGTTGCTTATAGAAAAATTGAAGCAAGCATGGCTATAAAAATAGAATTTATTCTACTTCGAAACCGCAGATAGATGGAAGGAAGGTAAAACTGCCGAGGCGCATAAATGCATTGGGGCGGAATGATTTGCTTTTCCACAAGGCATTCCCGCATTGTGTATTTTTTTTACGCAGTGCCAATACGGCTTTATATTACTTACAAATTGCCGATTTGATGTATAGCATAAGCTATTAATTACATCATTAGTGAGGTACCGTCGCATTCTACGTACATTCTCTCCTAAGTGGATAATAAATATTATCGATTTTGTATTTTCACGCACGTTTATGAAAATTGTATTCTGAAGCATGCAAGAATTTCTCTTGTTTTTTTGTTACAGAAGCTTACGCTTGTAGATTGGAAAATGTCTCCCCTGTAGGTAAATTGAAAAGTGTGAAAGTTACCTTTGGTTAGAGCTGCGATTTTAACTAGTTTTATAGCAGGAGTGGGATTCCGTGGAAAAATATTAATTTTTATTAACCCACATCAATTTATCAATTTGAACCTCTTTTTCATTTATTCGTGTATTTTGGATGTTAATTGGGTTTCTCAAATTTTTAACTAAAGGTTTTGTGTTGTTGAGGTGGGAATATAAGATAACAACCCGATGGCAAATAAGGTTAAATCAAATTAATTATCGCATTGGGTGTACTAATAGTATTAATGATACGAGTTCGTTTATGAACGCCGTAATAAAACGCGTGTAACGTTAAAATCAGGAGGCGTAGCCGAGTGATTTTAGTTACACAAGTTTCATTAATAACCCAAATAGATTTTATTCTCATTGTTGTGTTATCTAAACGTTTTCATAAATTATAATTATTCAATTATTAAGTGTCTATAGGTACTAGTGGATGTCATGGTAATCACGTTTGTTACATTTGACGCGCTTCTTTCTGACACCTTATCAAAAGATGAACTGGAAAGGGTACTGACAAAGGACGATTGGGACGTCTGGAAGAAATACACTGTTGATGTCAAAACTTTAAGAGCCACTATCTCGAAAACCGTTTGTCGGAGGAAAGTGCTCTCAAAGGCAAAATGAATCGTGAAAATATCTGCAGAACAAAGTGTCGGAGAAGGGTACTCTCAAAGGGCGGAAAGATCGTCTAAACGAGGCGCATCTAGGAAGTGAAAATGCAGGTGCTGCTCGTCGTGACTATAGGAGACGGTTTCCATCCCCGTCTTTTGATAAGAGGACAGAAAGAAGGGCAGTAGTTGGTAGAAAACGGTTCTTTTCGTTGAGACCTTTAATTAGAATACCGTGAAAGCCCCCCCCCTCCCCCTCCCAAACAAACCAATTTATTTCGATGAGACTTTTCATTAGAATCCCATGAAGGGTAGAAAGTGTTCTAACCTCCCCGCCCCTTTTTTTTTCAAAAGTTTAACTTGGCACCACTAAAGGCATGCGTAAGGAAAATCTGAGACCAATTGGTTGTCGTATGTAAAAGTTATGCACGTTGTAGGTACTTTCAAAAACAGCGAAATTTGATAGCCGTCTGGTACACCTTCAAGGTATAGGCTACCTACTGCAAAATGTTCCAGGATTATAAGTGCTTAACTTGTATGTATGTGTGAATGTATGTATTTCGTTTTTTGTGAGCAATATAACTCAAAACCGCTAAACCGATTTTAATGGAATTTCGAATGCATATAGGCTGGAGTGGGGAATCGCAAACTTCAGGAATTTTGGTTTGGATTCGTAAAGATTTTCAGAGCTTCTAAGGGCGTCAAAGGTTTAAAAGGGCCATAACTACAAGAAGAAATTCTGAATGCAGATTTTGAAAATTGCATTTTCTTGAAAACTATGGTTCATAGAGAACAATGTTACATACAAACAATTTTCGCGTAGGATTTGAAATAAAAACACCAAAGGGAGTTTTGCAAATTTTTTAGTTTCTTTTAGAAAATGCATTTTTATTATACCTGCATCAGAATCGCTGTTTAAAACACATGAGCGATGGAGCGTGTGATAAACGGCGACTAAATCACCCCGATCTTTAAAAGGTGCTACGTAACGTTACTACAAATGGGACGTTTTTAAACTATAATTTGGGACTGGGACCAAAAAAATCCTTTGTTGAAAGATTTCACAAACGCACTTGAGTGGGTATTCTGCACAATCTGTTCTACTTTTTAATCTCAGTGACACATTGAATTGCTACTGTGATGTTATGTCTCTCTCACACTCATAGAATGCTTATTGCGTTTCTTTCGAGCTTACTATAAGCCAGACTCGCAATTATTTTTTTTCATACCAGTAAGTATAAATATCAACATTAAACATGCATTTAAAACTTTGTTGGAAAGATGCTTTTACCCCAACAGCCTTTTATATTTTTTATAATTTAGATTTTGCAAGTACCAACTTTTTCTGCTTCTGCATCAAGCGACTGAATAGACAGTGAGGGTATTATCTTCTTTAACCGAAGTCGTTTTATTTACAAAGACAGTGATTTTCATAAGCAAACGTTAAGTGACATTTTCATGGTAATCATGGAATTACGAACCTTAATTAGAATATATTCCAATATAATGTCAATATGGGTTTATTTCAAACCTTGTCACTTTTGAAGATTCACTATCGCTCTCGATTAGACAAGAGAACCGCTGAAAGCGTTCAGCATGAATTTTGAAGTCATCTTCATGGGACACGAAGACAGGAACATACATTCTCACATAACTGTTAAGAGTCAAGTGTAGGGCAACTAATTTTGTCAAATAGAAACCTATACTTTTTATTGAATATTGTTATTCTACATCGGAAAATAATAAACTTTCGTGGGAAACGTTTCTTTTCCTTACTCTTACTATTTTTTAAAGACACTCTTCTGAAAGCCCTATTTTTGGTTAGAGCTAGGAAGTTGTTCTGTCAAGATTTCGACAAATTTTTATCTGTTACACGTTACAGCGTTTGTATGCAAAATTCAATTCTCTTTCAAAATAGGTGAGAACGTACAGTAGGATGGTCTAAGGCAGTATTGCCGAGTTTAGTTGGAACGCACTGTACTCGCTGGACTGTGTCGTTGTCATAAACACATTTTGCAGTATGTTGCCCACCTGCCGAATAAAGTTATCTAACGTAGATAATAAAAAACTGATTGAAGGAGGAATCCAATTGAAGTACAAAAATTGCCCATGGCAGC